TTCCTCCCTGCCTTGCATCCATCTTCTGGCTACGTTAGGTAAAGTCAGTTAGATTAAAGATTTTTTATCTCATTTCCCTAAGAAGGTGATATGGAATGAAACCCCTATTTCATCTTGGACCAGGAACAATTGCTATCTTAGCCTGGCATACACTGCTATTTTCTCTGAACTGTATTATATATGTCTATGTTGTCCATGTAACGCAGTTTCAATTCCTTTATATGGCAGCCTGAAATTCCAAATGAAAATACGTTCTGTCTGTTTGTATGTTTGAATAACCCTCTGGAACTTAATGCATAGTGCTTAATGACATCGTCAGATGCTGTCTCTAGGAGTGCATCTACACTAGGCATGGATAAATTCAGGCCCATGGGCCGGATGCAGCCCTTTGGGGTCTTGGCTCTGGCCCAAGCACTCCCAGTCACATGTGGCTGCGCAGAGCTCTCCACATGGTGGGCCAATATGTCCTCTCGTGAAGAACGTGCTCTGGAGGCATATGCTGCTGTGTGGGGACCTCCCAGAAACCCTGCACAGCTGTGTATGTTCCCCTCTCCCCCCCCCCCCACACAAACCACTCCCAGCCTCCCCCTTGCACCAACTGCCCCACCCCCAACCCATGTCAACCCTCACCCCTCTCCTGGCCCAGCCACCCAGGCCCTGCCCAACATGTGGCTCCCTTTCTGAAAAGTTTGCCCATGCCTGATCTACACTATAGAATTAATGCAGTTTGATACCACTATAACTACCACAGCTCAGTGTTATGGAATCTCTGGGGGCTGTCGTTTTACATGGTCTTTAGTCTGCTCTGCCAAAGAGTGCTGATGCCTCACCAAACATCAGCTCACAGGATTCCATAGCATTGAGCCATGGCAATTGAAGTGGTGTCAAACTGCACTAATTCTACTGTGTAGATGCACCCTTGTTCTCAGGTTTTTACTTGGTTTGGAGCCTGGGATGATGCCGAAACTACAGCCCTAGCTGAACATGTTTAATACTCCACCAAGTAAGAGAGAGGAGCGGAATCATCCAAAGATTACAGAATGATGAAAGTCAAGCCAGATTATCTTGTTGTTTCGTACCTGACTAAATTTATCAAGCAGAATCCAGATAGGAAGGAAAATAAGCTTACACAGCATGGGAGAGGTGCCATTGGAGGGACCAACTGTAGGTATAAAGCGCTTAATAAGAACCTTGCTGTTACCTTTCTCGTGGCAATTGTGGGGGATTTGGCCAGTTAATCATGAGAACCACGGGGAACAGCTGTGAAAGAGAAGCAGAGATCTGTCCTTGCCAATACTGTTTCGTCCCCCTTTAAATGTTTGTTTTGTTTCTCCAAGATGTAAATTTCTAGCAAAGGGGATAAATGCCAGAGAAATTCAGACTGCTGAGGAAAAGTATTTGAATGATGCATCTTCTAATCTGTAATAGAAGATAAAACCAATAAATCCCAGAACCTTTTATATGGGTCATGTGGACCAGGTTTGCCAGTTTGATGAATTCAAAACTCCCTTCCTCTCTGTTTCATTTCGTTTTATTCTTGACCACACAACTTAAACAGTCAAGATAGACTTGAATCTGGCTGCAGGTGGCTTTTGACTCATTGTGAAATGACTCTTGTTTACAGCATCTTGTTCCAGATGGTGAGTTTACTATGATGTAGGCTGGATAAGGTTTCATTTGGGAATTTAGAGCCAAGCACAAAGTCCAACACAAACAAATAGGCACAAGGGAAGACCTTGGTGCATCTGTACTGTAGAAATAATGCAATTTGACACTACTTTGACTGCCATGACTCAATACTATGGGATTAAGGGATCTGTAGTTTGGTGAGACATCAGCACTCTTCGGCAGAGAAGGCTAAAGACTTCATAAATCAGTGGTTCTCAGCCTTCCTAATGTCACTACCCCCTTAATATAATTCTTCATGTTGTGGTGACCCCCAACCATAAAATTATTTTTATTCCTACTTCATAACTGTAATTTTGCTACTGTTGTGGATCATAATGTAAATATCTGATATACAGGATTATTTTCATTCACTGGACCAAATTTGACACAAATACACCCCTATTTGAATACTGGTGGGGTGGGGGGTTGATTTTGTCATTTGGGTGTTGTAGTTGCAGGGATTTATAGTTAACCTACAATCAGAGCATTCTGAACTCCACCAACAATAGAATTGAACCATACCTGGCACACAGAATTCACATGACCAACAAAAAATACTGGAAGGATTTGGTGGGCATTGAGCTTGAGTTTTGGGGTTGTAGTTCACCTACATCCTGAGAGCACTGTGAACTCATGCAATCATTGATCTGCACCAAACTTGGCATGAATATTCAATATGCCCAAATATGAACACTGGTAGAATTTGGGGAAAATATTGATATTTGGGAGTTGTAGTTTCTGGGATTTATAGTTCACCTACAATCAGCATTCTGACCCCCCCCCCCCCCGCCCATGATAGATTTGGGCCAAACTTCCCACATAGAACCCCCATGACCAACAGAAAATACTGTGTTTTCTGATGGTCTTTGGTGACCCCTCTGACACCCCCTCACGATCCCTCCCAGGGGCCCCAACTCCCAGGTTGAGAAATGCTGGTTGAATAATTTTGCTTTGGGAAGAATGGCTGTGACACTCAGAAATGTATGAATTATAATTTGCCACACTATAAGGTCTATGAAGCCTTAAACATCCCCTAAAGCTACTCGATTTTTTGCTAAGATGTTTTTTTAAATGCTTGGGGGAAAAGGTGATATGACATCCATGTTTTCACGATGGAAGATAAACATCCTAATAGTTCAGCTGCTATATACAACATTTAGGAACTTTTTTGTTGCATACTACTCAAATATTTCAAACCAATCACTTTATTCTGACCTTTGTATAGAAAATGCTGAGGATATAATTAGCTAATGCAAGTATTTTTGTTATTTCCTGCTCTTTTGGTGACTGTTTTTTATGTTTATAACATTTTATAAGAGCTGATTCTCCTTTGCTCTTCTCTTCAAGGTTGTTCCATAGTTTAATATTAAAGCACAAGTGTAACACATCATCTAAATTCATGCATCAAGTTTGTTAAAATGATATATTTATATCATGCTAATTAAATGAGCTTAAAATGTGAAGTTTAGTAGAACGCCTAGCTTAGAATACATGTCTGATGTAAAAAAATACTGTTCCAGTGCTGAACAACTTGCTCATCCATGTTCTGCCTGAGGAAATCATATTTGCCACAAATTTAAACTATCAGTGTAGCCTGTCTAATAAAAGATTTGACCTGGATTTGGCAGGCCTGATTTGAATAGCAATACATACTTGGTTTTATACTCAAAATCTCTGAGCTTTACTTCTGGCGGTGAATGAATTGACCATTGTGGAATGATGCTTTGCATACTGAAAAGCATTATGAAGATCTTCATTTTAACTCTTGAATTTCTGCAAGTATGAATGCCAGCAGGGTTAAGAGGATGGCAATTGAAAAAGAATGGAACTGCAAATTTACAATTCCATTGGGTTTTCTTGAACAAATTGTGGCCTTGCCATCTTTTTCTTTTACTTGGGAGGAATTGATCGAGACCTGTCTCATTGCAGGAGGAGGGTTGAGATATTGTGAAGCACTCTAAAGGGTTAGAGAGCATACAATTCTTGAGTGAACATTTTCATATGCGCACAGCATAAAGACCAGAGGAATACAAAAATGCAGGAGTGTGTTAACTGCAGTATCACTGTAATAAGCTTTCTTTAAGCAGAGTCATCGTATAACAGAGTCATCGTATAGTATGGAATAAATTTTGACTACTGGCCATGTCTGTCACAACATTTTCCTATGTGCACAGCATAATGACAAGAGGAATACAAAAATGTAGGAGTGTGTTCACTGCTGTATCAATGTAATAAGCTGTCTTTAAGCAGAAATAAACAGAATCATCATATAACATGGAATAGATTTTGACTACTGGCCATGTCTGTCACTGTTAGAAGCAAATTTTAGAAAGTAGGTTTTAAGAAAAATGAGTACAATGGCTGAGCCAACTGAGCAGTCTGAGAGAGTCATCCTATTACAACTCAGTTAGACTTATGGATGACTTATGCACATTGTTCGGTCTTTCTGTGCTCTAAAGCAGTGCTTCCCAAAATGGGTGATACTGCCTCATTGAGGAGTGCTGGAAAAATCCATGGTTTTAGTAGTACCCTCTGGTGCAATTTGGCAGAATTGAATAAAAATAAAGGGGTGGTTGAAACAAAGAAAGAAAGAAAATTAAAGAAGACAATTCTGAAAAACCCTTCATGCATGTTCACTGTGTTGTGTAACAAAGTTAAAATGGTAGCGATTACTTTATTTTCCAAATGAACACACAAAATGCAGATCATAACCAATCAGTGTTGGCAGGCGAGTGTGTTGTGCATTATCAGGAAGTCCAGCATGCTTCGGCAGGAATAAGTATATCTAATGACTTGCTTACAGTGCTGTACTGTAAATAGGCAACATGTGTGAAGTCTAATTTAGATTATTTCTTAATTGTGTGACAAGCAGTTAACAATAGCATATGTGCTATAAATATCTAAAAATTTAATTCATGCTGCTGACAAAACAAATATAACATTTACAAATTGACAGCAGTGCACCAGGTTCATATTTCTCAATCCTAGGATTATTTTTAAGGTTATTCATAAGTTTTGTTTTAATGTGATCCTTCATTGTATTCATTTTCTGTGTAATGTGGTTTATTTTTAATAATTTCCTTTATAACCTTTGTAATTTCAAGATTCAATGTGTCCTTCATTCATCTTAATTTACCATGTTATAGGATGTAGATAGAAATATGGATACATAAAAGAATGCAAATTTTACATCACATTTTACTCTTTGTTTGTTTAAAGAACGGGGTGCTGAGTAAGATTTTTGTGAAAAGTTAGAGCAAACAAGATTGAGAACCTCTGCTCTAAAGTTACACCATTTGATTCCATTTTGTATTTCTTTGCTTGTTTTCCAGAGAAAGAGACCTTCTTGGATCCTTTCGTGTTAAGGGATATCCTGCCTGCATCTCTGGGAAGTTACTATCGGTATGCAGGGTCCCTGACTACCCCACCTTGCAGCGAGATTGTGGAGTGGATAGTTTTTCGAATGCCTGTCCCCATCTCTTATCGCCAGGTAGGTTTATATCATCAAAGATTTTCTTAAATTTTACTGTCCTATTGTGAGCTTAGGGTGCTTCTACACAGTCAAATCAATACAGTTTGACACCACCTGAACTCTTTTGGTTCAATGGTATGGAAAGAGGGAAACTAGTTTTAGTCTTCTGCCTATGTGTAGAATAAGGTGTATATGAAACATCAGTGAATTTTATGTGTGGATTTGGGTCCCATCTCAAAGACATCCCATTATGTACATATGGGAAATGCAAGTATTCCAAAATCCAAAACACTTCTAGTCCCAAACGTTTCATATAAAGGGCACTCAACCTGTACTGATGATGTACTGAGGAATGTAATAATGCCATTGATCTGCTCTCTTTATTATTATTAGCTAATAATGATGCAAGGTTCCTGTTACAGACCTCTGAAGTGATGTACAGATTCCAAAAACGAATGCACAGGAGGCCTTCTTGTAGATCAAGGCAATGAGTGGCATTTTCATTTGAGAGGCATCCCAGAGTAATAATGTGGAAATGCAGCTAAGTGTTTTAACAATTAAAAAGGCTTTGACATTTAAAACTTTTGTTTTCAAAATGTCTCCTTGCTGAAATCTGTTCTGCCTTTTATTTGCTCATGATAATAATACACCCCATTGCAACAGAGGCATCGTGGCTGGAACTGTCTAAGAGTCTAAAAGTCACTGATTTATCTGAATGAAGGAGTGTAAATATTCAGTAACCCTCACATGATTGAGGCAAATGAAAGCATCAAGCCATCCGTTTCCCTGCTGCTTCTCAATCATTTCTCTCAAAGGACACACCAAGATCATTTGCCTTTTTTTAACCACTTAAACTATCCTGTCTTCAGTGTCTGCTGTTGTCAAGGATTGGATTGAATCACATTAACAGACCTTTTTCATTTTGTTTTGCTTCTCTTTGGCACTGGAGTTTAGGTTTTGGAGTCTAGCTTTTAAAATTGAATAATTGTGTGCTGCCCATATAGATAAACTCCAACATCCATCTAGTTATGCTCAAATTAAATGCCAACAAATGTTGGCTTCTCTGTAGTTGGTTTGTTAGAGCTATTCCAAATCAGCGAACAAACAAACAAATAAAACAATCCTTCCAGGTTTCCTGAGTGTAGTTAATTTAAAATACAGTACAGTCGACCTTCCGTAACCATGGTTTTTGCTTCTATGGATTTAACCAACCACAACTTGAAAATATTCAAGAGGGGGGGGGGGGAACGGATTCTGAAAATCTAATGTAGTCTAGCAAGCCAATTCTGTGAACCATCTTGTATTAATGTTAACTATATATAGATATAGGGCATGGTTTACAAAAGATGATACCTGCACACATTGGATATTTTGGAGACTTATAAACAAAGTCCTCTTGGATTATGACAAAATAAGTGAGATTAAATGATTTAGGGAGGAGGATGACAAGGAGGCATATTTTGTATTATTATTAGTATTATTATTAGTATTATTATTATTATATTTATTTATACTCATATTTCCTCTCCACTGGTTGTAACCTGGCTGATGGTTTTAGAATATGTGTTGAAGTGTTCCTTATTACCAAATGAAAAATGACAGATATATCATTTAAAAATTTGACTTTTCCCTTCAAACATTTTCCAATTCCAATATTTCATTATGTATATGCAAGATTTTTATGATTGCTATTTTACTACACATTTCTTTTTAAAGAAAAAATAGAAAATGAAATTACATTTATACATCTTGGAAAATATAGAGATTTTATAGGTTAGTCATGGAAATGTTTTAAAAAACAATGTTTTGATCTGTACCAAGTAGGTGTTTTCAAGGACCTAAAGATTACAGGAAAAATCACTACTGTGTCATTCAATTTATTCGTGCAGATAGTTGAAGAAGTGGCAAAAATATAACATTTTTAAATATTTGTCAAAAGCATTTGTACATGCATTTGCTTTGCATTTCATGTCACATTCTTTTACGTAATTCCTTCCAAGAAGTGCATGTTCTTATTATCACACAAATCGATTTTCGCAACTGCACAGACCCTAGTTTGTTTGCTTACATGAGCAAGTCTCTAGGGTTGGATAATATACCTCCACCAGCTCCACTCTCCAAATGATGGACTTCTACTCCAGCTATGATTCTTCTGCTTCCCACTTTCCAGGATTCCATCAGATGATCCTGGCTTAAATGAGCATCATTGCCATCAACTTCCCAATATCTGGAAGGCTTGTGTAAAACACAGCGGGGGGAGGGGGCTTTCTAGCTTTTCAGCCTCCAGACTATGAATTCTGTCTTATAGAGGCATCTCAATCAATCATTTGTTATCAGATGTCAGAGAAGGCAGTCATCTGAACATTTTTGACAGCTGCCTTGTAATTTTCTGCAGCTCCGGAAATACGCATGGCCAACATGCAGGCCTTCATGTCCACATACAAACAGTGCCTCTCTGACAAGATGCTTTCCTTCATTCCACATCATCCACATGAACAGCAGAATGAATCCCTGGTCTTCCAGGAAGAGCACCAATCTCTGGTGATGCAACCAATACAATCACCTCACCATTCAATCGTCTGTACTGCCAAGGTGATGTCAAGGGCTGTTGCCAATCGTTGTTATGCAAAGCTCTGCTCTGTTGGACTCTTGGGAGGACACCAGATGTCAAATTGAAGATCTGCTTTTTGATGGAGAAGGTCTGATTAATGCTGGAGCAGATTAGATCATAGAATAGCTTTCAATATCAGACAGACAGTGAAAAAAGGGCCTTCAATGTGATCATCAACAGCAATGTATCTTCAAGTCCCCCTGGAAATGTCCACATTCTTCATTCTCCAAGTTTAAGTCCAGATCCAAGTCGCCATTACAGAGTTTATGCACATCCCTACAGCATTGCCAAGGTGATGTCAAAGGCATCCATATAAAAAACCAGTGTTTTCAGCCCCCCACTTCAAAGAAATCTTCTGGTTCTTCCTGGTATACAGTGATTCCTCCCATTTCCTTGTCCTCTCCATCCAGAATCCAGATAGACAAGATTGCTACCTTACTACCAAAGAATACTATGGCAAAGATTCCAAATCATTACAGAAGTGACTGATACTTTTCTTTGCATGTTATGGTTCCCAAAAGGATGGTGGCCTTTGTCCAATCTTGGATCTTCATGGTGGCAACTGATACATAATACCAAAGGATGTTCAAGACTACACTCCATCCTACTATTCCTTTACAAGGGGGATAGTTCACATTGATAGATCTTCTGTGATTAAAACACAGAGACCATGAAGAAGAACAAGTTGCTTACCTGTAACAGTGGCTCTTTGAGTGGTCATCTCTGTCCTTACACAACTTGTCCTACTCCCACTCTTTCAGGTCCCTCTATATTTTGCAATGGGACTGGGAGAGCAGTAGCGTTGACTGATAGGAATAGGTGGGATTTTCACCAAGTTATAGAATTGTCCAGTTGGACTCATTGCACAGGTGCAAAAATCCATTTGTATGAAGGCATGGATGACCACTTGAGGAACTACTGTTACAAGTAAGTAATCTGTTCTTACTTCCCCTAATAAGCTGCAATGCTAAACATACCTATTGCAAGATAACATTAATTGAGACTAACTTCTGGGTTAGGATCAAATTGTTAGACTATTCTTGGGGGCGGGGGGGGGGGGACCTCTGCAAAGGCACTTAAGATATGACAATAATGTGTCTCAGTGGTTAGAGCAGCTTTAATCCACTTTACATTCTCCAAATGTGTTGGATTATGGATGTGGGGGCTGATAGGAAATGTAGTCCACCACATTAGGAGGATCAGAATTGGAGAAGGCTAGCTTAGATCAACAGTAAATTCAAAATACAGCATTCCACTCCTTCATTAGAGTGGGAGCTCCCCCCGCTGTCTGGGTTTGTTATCTTTGTCTGCCAGGGTCCAGCTTTTATTGTATCTATAATGTGCAGCAGAGTGGGCACCTGCACTCTAGGAACTGCTGGTTGTTCAAGATACAGCTATAAATACAAATAATGGGAAAATGCAATGGCTGTATGCTGAGCTGTGATTTATATTATGCAGAAAATCAATGTGTGGCCCTGTTTGGCATCATAATAGTACCCCAGTAACACACATGCACACATTACAGCTCAAACAAAAGAAAGAGCTGTATATATTTGTAAATGTAACCAGTAAATAGGGACTGGAGAAGAATCTTTTTCTTTCCTCTCACAGAGATTAACTTTGTAGAGGGTTTCTGAAGTGTTTTTTTCTGCAGCTTGGCTGAATAGAAATGGGGCTAGATAAGGCTGTTGGCAGTGATTTCAGCGGGCAGCCTGCTTTCCTGTTTGATTTATCAGTCTTGGCATCAGTACTTCCTGCCATTTTGCATTCTTATCAGCTGCCCAGATTTCACCACATTGTTTTTCTAATTAATGTCCTTCCCACCCCCTTTCTTTTCTTTTCTTTTTCCTCCCTTCTACTCATCCTGATGGCTGCTGCGTTCAGCTGGAAGCCTTTTATTCCATATTTACCACGGAACAGCAAGACCACGTCAAATCCGTGGAATATCTGAGGAATAATTTCCGGCCTCAACAGAGTCTGAACAACAGGGTAGTTTCCAAGTCTGCCGTGAAGGATGCTTGGAACCAAGTCTCAACCAGCATATTTGAAAATCCACTCGGTACTGAAGCCTCCAAAGGTAGAGTCCCATTGTCCATGACGAACAAGCAAAAGTGTGTTGTGGCTTTATGTTTATTTGCAAGCATTTGCAGATCTTGGATAAATGGCTTTTTGGACTACAGCTTTCAGAACCCTCACTGGCTTATGATGGCTCTGGGATATTAGAACCAAAAACTAATTTTTTCCAAGGTCTGAATATTCAGGGATTAATAATCAGGTATCTGTAAATATATTGTTACACTTTCAGTTAACATGCTTTCTTTAAACGCTTCTTACCAGGGTAGTCAAACATTAAAGTAGTTATAAAAAGTCTGAGGATCAGACTTATACTTCCATAATCCAAAATCAAGAGATAACAGAGAAGGTGAGATCAGGATATTAGGTAATCTCAGGAAATTGAACCTATCCATCTTTATCTTTTAACTGATAACATTGGCCAGATCTCTCATACCATTTTCAAGCTAAAATGGTATCCAAGGTTGGAAAAGCTGGGTTTTTTTTTTGTACTACACCATTCAGGATTCTTGAACTAGAGTGGTAAACAAAATGTGTGTATATGTCTTCAAGTTACCTTTTGATGGCCCCAAGCAATTCATAGTGTTTTCTTAGGCACGCACCTAGTATTCATTGGCAACCTCTCTTCCAAATACTGACCAGAGATGGCCCTGCTTAACTCCCAAAATCAGGTGGGATCGGTAACCTTTAGGATGTTTAAACCCATACACAAAGACAACAGATTAAATGAATCACAAGAATTTTATGCTCCATCTTGTTCCCCTTTAATACTTATGACTTAATATTCTAACCACATGATTGCTCTGGGTAAAGTCCTCCATGATTTCAAACCAAACCAAAATCAGAACACATATCTCATTCTTAGGGCAGTTCCTGCTTTCCACTTCTAGTGATTTTGCTGTCCTTGCAGAGTTATCAAAGAGGTCTCTTTTATCTCTAAGCATTTAATGCCAAAAAAAATGCTAGAAAACAGAAATCTTAAATAAACGACTCTTTCTGCTTAAATAGCTTCTTAAAAATGCTATGACTCCTTGTGAGGCCGTCGGACCAATCCTATCGCTTGTTTTCATTTGGAACCAATTTAGTTTGTGTCAAAAATGATTGAGGTTTTCCTGAGCAAACCCCACTGTAAGTGATTAAGTAATTGTATGTATATCCTGCTTTTCAGCCAAGATTGGTTCCAGTAGTAGCAGAACATTAAGAAACATTAATAGGAAGAGATACTACATGTTCTTGCTAGATTCATGGCTTATCCAAAACACACAAATTGAATTCATGTGCTTTGTCCTGGGAAGACATCTGCTTTGTGGAGATCAGATTTGAACAAAATAAGCAGCCTATGGTCATCTTTTTTTTTTACATTGAAAGACCCATTAGAGCAATACTTTGGTATTCACTTTGCAGTTATTTATTTACAGTATTTATATTCCACCCTTCTCATCCTGGAGACACAGAATACATATATGGCAAACATTTAATACTGTTATATACTGTCAAGACAGACAACTGTACATAGATAGAGGTATATATAGGCTTTCCCATCTTTGGCATCTTGGAGACTTGTGCACGATTCCGGCCCGGGCAGGAAGAGGGAGTGCTGTCGCTCCATCTTCCCTTCCAAAACTCCTCCTAGATTGAATCACTGGCATTTTTCTGGCATTTCCTTATGAGTGCCTTAAATGCATATGTTCATGAAACAATAGCTTTGGGAAAAACAAGTAAAATTACAAGTGAATTTAAGAATATTGTTAATCCAAAATGTAGCATTTCAGAGCCACAGTAATGACTCTGTGGTTATGAGACATTGGAATTGATGTTGTATCTTCATTCAGAAGCATTAATATTTATTTGTGAGAAGCTGCTCGCTACAGGGCAGTAACAAAAAGTAATAGCTTACATTATATTAAAGTGACTAAATGGACGTGTTTTTATTTTCGAGACCACTTTGGTAATCTGTTGCATGGTATTTCAAATGCTTTACTGCTTTTGTAAATGTCTTGTCACAATGGCTGATGCCAAAAGCCATGTATATATATTTTATTCACTCCATTTAGATCTCTAGCTTCTGGCCACAATGCTTTTTTAGAGACTCTTTATCCAATCTAGAAAGAGGCCCCAGTGGTGCAATGGGTTAAACCCTTGTGATGGCCGGACTGAAAACCAACAAGTTAGAGGTTCGAATCCAGGGAGAGTGTGGATGAGCTCCCCCTGTCACTTCTAGCTACCTATGTGAGGACATCCCTTGTCACTAAAAAATTGGGAAGTGAGAGTTGCAACTCTGGAAGGTCAGAGTTACAAGCCCTTGCTATAGTTTTAAGTAGGTCTTTCAGGGTGGCTTCATAACCAGAAGTGAACTTTGAGGCACTTGCCCCCTAAATCCACTGAAGTTGTTTACCCCTTTTCTAGAGAGGCAGTACATCCATCTACTATAGTACTGATCCTCATGGGTTCTGAGACTGGGATAGATAGATATCTGATGTGCATTATCTGAAATCTTAACCTCATGTGCATTATCTGATGTGCAGATAATGCACATCAGATAATGCACATGAGGTTAAGATTTCACTCTAATCACACAATAAAGGCACTGACTTCCCTAGACATTTGGTGCCTCCGATGCTTCCCATCAAGCTTGGGGTTTGCCTGGGTCATAGTTAACCTTGACAGTAACATTTGGCTCCTGTATCTATAAAGGCTTCCTTCATTATGATTTACCTGAATCTTCCTGTAGTCTGTAGTGTCAGAGCGCCTGCTTTCTGTTCTGCTAAATTTGCTGAACATCTTGACAAAATGTCATGTTACTACCCATGTTTCCCATTTTCTCTTCTGACTCGTTAAGGCAAAAAAAAAAGCAACTGTAATAATGTCTTAATTCTTTATTTATTTATTTACTTACTTTACTTTACTTATATACCGCTGTTCTCAACCCGAAGGCGACTCACAGCGGTTCACAACCAATAAAAACAGCAATAATTCAATGCAGCATATAACAACAATTAACAACTTAACACATTACCCAAACAATAAACAATTACTACAATAACCAATCACAATCACTTTCCTTCTTAAGAACATGGGAAGAAGCAAAGGATTCCACTTGGCCCAAGCAAGATTCCAAATATATAAATACACGTGTGTGTGTGTGTTAACTGTTAAAATATGTCTGGAGTGTTTCCCATACCTATATGTCAATCTGCTTCCAAGAAACTTGGAAGAGATGGAGCTCACTTATTTTTAAACACAGGAAAAAATAATGTGACTTGCCACATTGACTAGATTACTAGTCAATATAGATTACCAATATAAATTACTAAATTTATTATTGAGTGCCTTCAAGATCACTGGCATTTTTCAGGAATTTCCTTATGAGTGCCTTAAATACATACATATGTTCGTGAAACAATAGCTTTGGGAGGAACAAATAAAATCACAAGTGAATTTAAGAATATTATTAATCCAAAATGTAGCATTTCAGAGCCACAGTAACAACTCTGTGATTATGAGACATTGGAATTGATGTTGTATCTCCATTCAGAAGCATTAATATTTATTGGTGAGAAGCTGCTCGCTACAGGGCAGTAACAAAAAGTAATAGCTTACATTATATTATAAATTGACGTGTTTTTATTTTTGAGACCACTTTGGTAATCTGTTGCATGGTATTTCAAGTGCTTTACTGCTTCTGATTTACAGGTATGGTAGTCCTACAGCAAAGCTATCACAGGGTCTTCTGTGGCTGAGAGCATGTGACTTGCCCAGGGTAACTCAGTGGGTTTTCATAAATGAGCAGGAGTATCAGAAATATTGAAGACTGAAGTCCAACTCTCAAACCACTATGACACACTGTCCTCAGCATACCAAAGGTGTAATTGGAAGAAGTCTTCCTATTTAATGAAGTCTCTGACTTTCATCACACACTATAATGTGTGGCAGGGGCAGGACTTTAGCCAGAAAATAAGAATTGGGGGGGGGGGGGGGGGGGTGAAGTGATTTTTTTTAGCAAATCATGAAAAGTAGTTCCATAACACAAAATAATTGAAATAGAATGGTTCATTCTATATGTTATATAGATTTAATTAAATCAATTTTATCGTCTCCTTCATGAGGGGCTTCAAATCTCACCCATGCCTTAGGCTTTGCCTAGTAGTTGTGGGTGGGCCAACTTGGTTGCTTCCACTATATCAGCTATTGCTGCACGTAATGACTGAATAAATTGTCCAAATTTACTTGAGACAATGCTTGCAGTTCTGGAGGGACTTGTTTAATTTTTGCTTCTCATAGACTTTTAAATAAATAAATAAATAATTTGGTTAACCAGTTAAAATTAATAGTAAACCAGGTTTTTTTTTTTAACCAGAAAATTTGTGGAGGGGGAAGTTGAACCCCTAAACCCCACACTTGGCTTCAGCTCTGGGCAGGGGATCAAATCATATTGTCATTGTTAGAGATTAGCAGAGATTTGTAAATTGAGGGCCATTATATTATAAAGTTTACCTGTGTATTGACTCACAACTGATTGAAGAAGAACCAGTGTGGCATAATGGTTTGAGTATTAGATTACAACTCTGGATATCAGGGTTCAAATTTTCTCTCAGCCATGGAAACCTGCTGAGTGATCTTGAGCAAGTCAAATTCTTTCAGCCATAGGGAAAAACAAAAGTAACCTCCTTTCAAATAATCATACCGAGACAAAATACATAAAATACAAAATACATAAATCACCTCAGAATCACCATAAATCAGAAACTTCAAAGCAACAATGGTAACAGCTGTAGTTGAGACTAACCAACAGATTTGTGTTTGGAGCCCCATCTACACTGCCATATCAAATCCAGATTATCTGTTTTGACTTGGATTATATGGCAGTGTAGATCCAGCCTAAGTGTGCCTTCAAGTCACTTGTCAATTTATCTAAGTCTCATGAATTTCTTAAGGTTTTCTTAGGCCCCATCTACATTGTAATGTAAAATCTAGATTATCTTCTTTGAATTGGATTATAGTGGT